GACGGCGACGAAACGAGCCGAGCCATCACCGAGATCCCGGAAGTGACCGTAGTCGGTGGTGGCTCCTTCGTGCCGAAAGATCTCTGCTCGACGGGAATCCTGACCTCCAGAGTCCTGACAGCACCTTCACGCGCTACCTACACCACCGCCTACATTTAGGCTACGTACGCGCGGGGCCCCTGCGAACCAAACGCGAACCAACGGTCGCCGTTGAGCGAGGGGGGCTTCAAGGGCTTGCTAGAGGCTACTACTATGTACATGTCGAATAGCACGTAGGTCTATCGTTGTACCACTCCTTTTTCTCTCTGTCTGTCTGTTTCCGTATAGAGACTTTTTCTGTCTTTCTTCCTTTTTCTTCGTGGACACGCTTCGCGCTATTCCTTCGGGCTCGACGAACGACCTTTCGCTTGGTTCGCTGTGTTTACGGAATATTTAAACGGAGGTACCTTCGAGTCAATATTTTAGGTATTTTGAGCGTATGCTCTAGTTTATGAACAAGCGTCGATTAAGAAGAAAGATTAAGAAGAAAAATATCGATTTTAAAGAAGTATTTTATCAAGATGTATATCGTAGGTTTTTATCGTGGTATTTCGATGATTTCGTCAATTGTTTATTTAGTTACTTGGACCTTTTAAGGGTTCTTGTTTTAGCTTTTAAGAATATATCTGTTATGATGTTTACGGACTAATTGTATAAAATGATTGTTTTATAGTTGGACGAAACATTCTACACCATTATTTCTAGTACTTTGTTGCCTTTTCTTGTATTGTTATCGTGTCTTTTTAGTTGTATAAGAGACGCTCCTAAAGTATTTAGTGTCATTTCTAATATAAACGAAGCGATATACCAGGACCTGAAACCTGCAACCAAGCTCAAGATCGTTCGAAAATGTTAATAATCGTGTGTTTTCCTCGATGGCTTTTGTTCGAAGTACGAGAAGAGTTCGATCGTTTTGTATTTTCAAAGAAATCTGTCTCTGTTTAATGATTCGCGTAAAGTTATTTATCCATTTTTGTATCTTCACGATCTTCGCTTTTCTGTACTCTTCTTCTACTTACGTATTGTACAGTTTCGATGTGTTCCAAGTGAAAATGAAAGAAACGAATATATTTCCAATATTACATCGACGTTAAAATCTACGGTTGAGAAATTCGCGAAAAAGAGATGTTGGAAAAATGGTTTTAGAGTTTGCTGATTCTTTCACTTTCGCTTTGTAGCTGTAATTAATTATACGATAAGCCTGTGTACATTTAAATAGCGTCAATTACCACGTTGGCATGGCTTTTGCAGCTTGTCTAGCATGCGTTTTATCATTTTCAATACCGAGTGTACATTGTTTTCCAAGCCTGTATCATATTTTTAGTTTAATTCCCCTTGAACTTTTCAACTGGTTCGATTTTTCTTAATTTGGATCAATCATTCTTAAATCAACTTAAACATCGTCGGCATCAGGTATACAGGGAAGGTTTGATATTCTTATAGAATTTTTGTAAAAGTGATTTTAAGAATCTCTTACGTTTTTATATCGATATCATAAATATTATCTTAAGTAATATCCTCAACTAAATACGCTTTTTTTTTAGACGTAAGTTCGAGACGATTGACCCTGCTACGTAATAATTTTAATATCTTTACATGTTACGGAAATAATTATATAATTATGTTATATATTTCATTTTGAATCTAATAAGTTTCTAATGATTGTCGCGCAATGTAATTAGTATTTTATTAAAAAAAAAAAAAAAATTGGAATGCATCGGACAGATATTAAAGATGCTAAAATATTCTCTTAGAGAGGAGAAAGACGAACATGAAATGGGCATATCGGTATCGTTCGCGATTCCTTCAATAATTTTCAATTTGCGAAAAATATCAGAAAATGTTTGTCGAGACGTGCGATTTTTCGTTTCGATTCTACGCTGAAATTTGTTCTTAAACTACGGCAAGCTTTTCTGCTTGCCAAAACGAGAGTGAGACTGGAACATAAATATACATAAAAATTGAAGGATCGTAACAGGGTTAAGACTGACTAAATAGCAAGAGTATAATACGCATTTCGACCTATTGAACAGTGCCAGTTAAAAAGTTCCGACGATATCCCCAAACATGTTAACCACGTTTTCGAGCGTCGATATTTTCGACGTTACGCAACTTCCCTTCCAGGAACGAAAATAGAAAAATAAAATAAAAAAAAAAAAAGGAAAAAAAAGGGAGGAAAAATAATGGTTTTCATCGATGGTCGAGGACGAGATCGAAAGAATCAACGTATCATTATCGATTATACTCGTTGCATCCCCGTCGTTTCGCTCAAACATCATAAAAGTCCCGGTGTGTACAGTTTAAACAAGCAAAGTCAATTTTTATCTTTCGATCTGTTCGTTCGGTGGAAATAACGACCGCCACCGATACACGTTTCTCCATTTTTCTCTTCCTCTTACCCATTCTTTCTCTTTTTTCTTCCCCTCTCTCGATATTCCTCTGCAATTCTCTGTTTCGTTGCATCGAGTTTGTACGCGGCAATTTAATAAATGATCAAATATTATATTAATTTAATGTTTTCAAGCCGGCGCTCGCGTTGCGTGTACGTGTGTGTGTGTGTTTGCGCGAACGCGCACAAAATTGATATTTTCTTTCTTCTACAATTTCCACGGCAAACAGCCGCCGTAGAATCCCCGTCAACAACGGCAAACAACAAATTAATTCGTTGTTTAAACAGTTCCAGAGGCCGGCTGTTTGTCGCTGGCAAACGCGTTTAACGCCACCGACAAGGAACGATCCTGCTAAATTCCAAAGGAACTTCTTAATACATATATTCCGAATTTCCCTTATTATTTTTATGTATAATGTAGTGTCTATTTACCATGCGAGAAGTATCTTTTGCGAAAAGTCATTCAGGACTTGTAGGCTGGATGGCACTCTGTTCGCTGTTGAGACTGTTTGGCGAACAGAAGATTGAAAAATCAACTGTTCGTTCGATATTGGTGATACGAGTGATTTGCTTTGGCTCATATTTATCTTGTACGGAGAGAAGATAATCTTGTCTTTTCATTGTCGATTCAGTTTTCGTCACGAGAGGAATGGCGGAAAATTCGTCAACAATTTTTAGATCTTAACGTTTGACGGATTTCGAGATCTCAGGATTTAAACGTTTTACAAATATTTTACGTTCGCCAATTTATAATTCCTCTACGGTGCTATAAAATAATTATTTCTCCTATTATATTTCGCAAAAGTCGATAGATAGAAATTCCGACGTCGAACGAGCTGTTTTTAATTGCAACAGAGTTGATTTTTCCAACCACGTTCGTCAAACGATCCAGTGGAAATTATCCGACGAACACAATGCGAAGCGGAATTTTCTAAATTAGGAAATTTGAACGTTCGAAACGAGCAAAAACGAATTAACAAACGAACGTCTTTGATCGATTGTATCAACGAGCGCCATCCAGCTCAAAAATCCTGATAGAAAGTAATTTCACGTTGCAAACACCTTGTGTATATATTCCTTGCATATCAAGCGTATTCCACACTTTATACAATCCTCCATACCTCAAAGACAACCCCGCAAGACGCCAATGGACGAGGGTAAACCGCGAGTGACCGGTTTTGGTCGTGTGTATTCTTTTTCTGTTCTTCTAGCTGGTAGCATGGCTTTCAGCTGACCTCACTGTTGCTTTTGCCGCTTCTAAAGAGAGCATTACAGAGATTTCTTTGGGCCGAGTAGTGGATGATAGGCGAACGAACGCATGTAACGTTCATTGACTCGTGATTTGTCAGACGGGAGAAGCTGCTGGACATTCTGCGTAATAAGATGATCGATCCCGCCGACCAAGGGGGAACCATCCCGAGCTTGGTGAACGTGAAACGCTCGAGGAACGCTTCGTCCTCGTCCGAGGATGAAGAGGAAGACGAAGAGGAAGGAGACGAGAAGAATAATCAGGAGGGAAGGCAGCGAAAGGACGAAGAGGACGATGGTAAAGTGGACGAGCAAGGAGGAACAGCGTACAGAGAGAAGGTTCCTGAATGGTTGTCGATGATCGAGAATGGTATTAAGCTGTCCGGACCTGTTACCGATCTTTAGATCGCAATTTTTCGGAATATTTGAAATTTTCGATTAGAGTTTAAGCGAAGAAACAGGGTGATTTGATGTGTTTGCAGGGTGTGAGATAATCTGAAGTGGTTTGAAAAGGTTTGCGATGAGTGGAGATTGGAAGGAAGTGTGTCAGAGTATTTCGTATATGAACTGGTCGATGATGATCTTGGATGGAGTATCGGAAATTCCTAGACGAAACTCCGAAGAGTTAAAAAGATTTGGCGCGTCAGAGTGGAAATGTTTGTAAAAGTTTATGATAATTGGTAGTAACGTGTTTGAAATCTCGATAATTTTCCAAGCACTGGAAATTTAAAATTAAAATTTGAGAAACAGGAGGATGCCAGGGGAAACGATAGTTTTGCAAGATTCTGGAAAGGTTTGTAGAAATTTGAGATTTAAAAAAGTAGCATTAGATTATTTGGATTTTTCGATGATCCATTTTCGAGTACTGGAGATTTTACGTTAAGGTGTAGAAAACGAGGATATTCGAAGCGTTAGAATGGTTTGGAAGAGTTTGCGAACGTTTATAGCGATCGGAGATTGAAGAAATTGGCAACAGAGTATTTAGATTCCTTGATAATCTCTGGAATCGAATTTTTTGAGTATTGCAGATGCAATTGAACGATTGTGCGAAAGTGTTCACGAATTTGACGAATGTGAACGCCTTCGATTGGAGCATAATGAATGACAGAATTGAAATTGTTAAGTCCACGACATTAGATTAACTCTTCCAAAAATTGTCAAAACTTTGCGTGAAAACGAAGAAGAGCCAAAAATCATGAACGATGATCGAGAAGATCAAGCTCTCTATCTGTGTCGCCTTAGGCCATAGTTTTTAAAAAAAGATTTTGAAACAAGTAACAAATATTTTAGAATAAGTTTGAAGTTGTTTGATGAGCGAAAATAAGTGCTTGTTAATTCTTTTAAATCAATTTGTTTGCTCTATTAAAATTACTCGAGTTTGAAAGATCTCGACGAAATTTTGTTTCAATAATAAGAAACATAATGTGTGACGAGCGATTTCTACGATCGTCGTTTGTTTGAACGTCGTCAAATGACTAACTTTTGCGTTGGTTACTGCGAAGAACGTGGATTGCAATGGAACGGAGAAGACGAAAATTTCTGCAATTCTACAAAGCTTAATAACTTTTTTTTTTATGGATTAAGTAATATTGTACATACAGTTAGCGCCGGGAAAAGAAATCTCGATTTATTTATAATCTTAAACTCTTTTTCTACTTTTTTCGTGTCATAAATTTCATCGGACATTAACGTTTTAAGGTTACGCGAGGATAATCTGTCGATTATTCGAGAGTTAGTAACGAGGTTTGATAAAACTGATTCGCAACCTTACCTGTGATCGTTCATTCGTCCCAATTTTTTTAGAAGACGGTTCCTCGAGATTTTTATTATACCGTTGAACGTGCCTGAAAGTTTGCTAGATTCGTTAAACGATTTAAATGAGTTTTCGCTGAAAAAGCGCGTATCTCTTATCTCTCGCGATTTATTCCCAGATCAGGAACTAAAAATAAGATAAAATCGAATCAAAATCACATTGTTAAAATAATAAATTCTAATTGAGAGTAGAATTCTGTTTTAATTAAAATCGGTAAAAGTGATATCACGTAATGTCAAAGTATCGGATGCCTTAACAAATGTCCGTTTTGCACGCAAATATTCCAATTTACAAATTTCCAAGTATTTCATAGCTTCAGCCACTTAAAGAAAAATTCTCAATTTCTTTCTCAAATCGTCGATTGCATCGAAACGCATGGATTTTAGAATCGCGAGGGATGAAACTATCGCGCGATCGTTCGCTGAGTTATATTTTTCGCTGATTAGCCTTCGCAATGGAGGATGCTGGTCGATAAGCTTGCGTGTTCTGTTCGTGGATCGAAGATCAGCGACGCTGGTGTTTGTCCTAAGAGCAAAGTTGACGTAATCGTGTTAATACGTTGATTTCTTTCCCGTTTCCAATCGAATCAACGGTGCATCGAGTATTTTTTGGAATTTTCCCTCCTAAAGGTGTCTCGATGATCCAGAATGGTAGCTGGAACTAGAACGATCGGTCGTTCTGCGAGAAACGTAGGTTTGAAAATGAATCTTTGTTATATTCTTCGAACATCGATCCCTCCATTTGACGAAGTTTTATCAATTTTCCGGGAAAGTTGAATGTCTAGTATTATTATGTTAATTATTCTTCGCTCGTTGTTATTTGTCGAAGCTGGTCTTTTTCTCGCTTTTGTCGATGTTTCGCCAAAATTATCTCGATTGCAGAAACCCAAGAGAGAGAGAGAGAGAGAGCGCGCAATGTTCTCTCGTTGAATTTCCACATCGTGTATGGACGTTATTAAAGATCGTGTTACCAATTTTTGTACAGGTATTCTGCAATTTTCGGGAAAGCCTCGTTCGAGAATTGGTAGTTTGTAATAGCGGAAATATATATTTTTTTATGAACAATGTAGATACAGCATTGTACATAGTAACGCGTAACGATTAATCTCTTTGCTGTGATTTTAATTGTCGTCTATACTTTTTTCAATGTGGTAGTACATATAAATTGATACTAATGGGCAAAACAAAATTTCTACTTTTCCCGTTTAATTTCTCTCGCCTGATTTTGTATTGTCTCGGCAAAGGGATTAAGCGAACGATTTCTGCGATTGAATCTCTGTCTACTTAGAAATTAGCGTTCTTCTAGTAAACGGCAGTTAATAGCTATAAATTAATCAATTAACGACTTATATTACGATCTACGGAGATTCTGTCTCTCGTGTTATCTATTTCTCATTAAACAAATATATTACGACACACATATATACACATACTATGCACGTAAAGTAGTTTAAGGGCCGAAGCTCGTCGTAAAAGCAGTATTTTCATAAACGAAGTGATATTACTTTCATCATCGATATTTCATGAAACTTACTTTCTATTTTTCGATATCGTATATATATAAAAATGGAAGAATCTGTTGTTTGCGATGAGCCAACCGTGACAATTGAACGATTTCAGTGCTCAAAATAATTAGAAAATTAGTCCATATTTTAATCATTTTCACGGTCAATTTATTTTTGATAGAAAAAGGAACAATCGAAGTGTCCTTTACCATCTTTCAGTTTGAATTTTCGTTTTCGAGGCAACTGTGATCGAAGTCGAACGAGAGAACGTACATATTCTCGCGCTACGCCCCGAAATTTTGATCGTTCGTATCAGAGAAACGAAGGCTCGGATTAAAATGCGATATAGAATTATTCGATTTGCTTTTTTTTTTATCGAGAATGTACCTATCGCAATTTGTTTCGTAATTTCGCATAACAAATTAGGAATTCGACGAGAAATATCTAATTTTTTCATATCAGCTATCTGGTTCTTTCTGTTAGATTACAAGGATAAGCGATTTTCTAATTGTTTTAAGCATTTTAATTCACATTTTTGCAACACGATAT